ACCCACCGACCAAGCGACACGAGCTTGCGGCGCTGGTTGCAGGCAGGACGCCCCGCCGCTGCAGGCCTCAGAAGCTCGCCAACGACCACCTGCAAGCTTCCACGTCTGCGCTGTGAGGGCGCTGAGGCCGGTCCAGTGCTTGTGACGCGACGGCTTTGCAACGTCCACTCCCGCCTACCTCCCACATTGATTTCCCCTGCACGCCATGCTAGGTTGCCGCCAGCCGGGAGAGAGTAGTCTCTACGCTTCTCGCAAGAACTCGGCCACTTTGCACGCGGAAGCTCGGGTGCTTCTCACAGCACCTTTCTGGTGGCCAAAGGTTGGATTGCTCCACGTGGCAGACTTGCATGCCAGGCTGCCCAAACACACGATCTGTCGGGCGGCTACAACCAAGGTCCGGCATTGCCACAGGCACGCAACGTCTGCGCTGCGTTCAGTTTCAATGCCCTTGCGAGCTGCCTTCGTAATCGGATGCACTTGCCTACAGCTGGGCTCGTCCCTCGTATTATAGGCACCGCTTCATGCGATGGCGTGGGAGATCTCCGGAGTTCTCAGCAGCTGGAGAATGGGCTGGGGCCTCGGCTCAGGTGAAGCAAAGACGCTTGGACGCGGCTTGCGGGACACTCACAAGCAGGAACGGGCTGCTACTGCAGAGCGCCGGTACGGCACGACATGAACATGCGGCCGAGTGATGGAAAAGCACCCGCAGCACGCGGCAATTAACAAAACCATGTGATTACCGACATTGGCAGTGCCTGCAATGTCTCCTGCGCACTTGTGCACGATCGGATTATCTCGTCATCGGACGTCTTGTCCTGGTCCATGCAGGCCTCGTGCCCAAACGGCTCAAGGCTTGCGGTCCTGGTTTGCAAAGTGCAGGGGGGCCTTGGTGTTCAAAACAGCTTCGGGAAGACTAAGTCTCGAAAAAGACTGGTGGCTCAAAGTTCAGGCCGTAGGGCTGTGCTTCTCGTGGTCTCTGTCAGCAAGCCGAAAGAACACGCAGCTTCAGCATCACCGCCAATTGCAAGGCAACAAGGCAGGTGCAGGACTCCTCAACACACGATCCTGCTTGCAGTCTGAAAACAGGTTTCGATTGGAAGTGCCTCCACCGAATACTCCACTCAGGCACTGCAAGGCAGCCAGCACCTCCGCAAAGCACCGCGCTGGCTCAGAGCTGTCTGCACGCTTCTGTCAACAAGGAAAATGATGCCAGCCCACTGCAAGGACTGCAGAGTTTTGCCGGCTGCAGGAAGAGCAACCCTCACCTTGCTGATGAAAGTCGCATGTGAACCATCAGGAAGCAGAAGGCGCCATGCTCGCCAGAGCAGCACAGCGAGGACACAAAAGGTCACGGGACCTGCAAGGATCTGACGCACCAGGCAGCTTGCACGGCTTTCCTGGATCTCACCAAACTTCCAGCCAGTTGGGCGGATGCACATCTTCACGTTCGCATCGTGACCCGTGCAAACTGCAGAAAACCGCATCACACTACACTGACACCGTCATGCTTCCAAGCAGCAGTGTTGGCAAGGGCCGATTGCTGACACCTTAGACGTAGGAGCAGAGTGGCAGCTAACACGTCACAGGAGCAACTCGCGCCGCCAGCAGGCAGACTCTGACAAAAGCCTCGCGGCCTGTCTGACATGTGAAGCAGGAGCACCGGAATGCTCAGCAGCGTCCACGCCGTCGCCGCCCGTCGGGAGACGTCCGATCAGAGCCTGCATGCAAGAAGATCCAGCCACATCACACAAGTGGTGATACTTGTCACCGAAGAGCACGCGAATTCGTGGACACTTGTGTAGCACTCTGAATTAGCCTTGTCTGGAGTCCTGATAAGAGTGGTGTGCTCTTAAAAGCAACAGCCCCACTTGCCCCTGAGCTGAGCCCGAGAATTCGCAAGGAGGATATCAATGGCATCGGGCACAGGAGAACCATTGAAGGCGCTATGCCAGCGATGAAAATCTTAAGCCGGACGCCGAGGACGCCGACGTCAAATCCGCTCTTGCGATGCTGTCGAAGCCGAAGTGTCCGAGATGGGCATGACGACAAGTCCAAGGATGCGAACTCGGCACCCTCGAAAGCAACAGGGGGACCACGCCATTCCTTACAAGCGGCCTGGTCAGGCATGCCGCAGTGTGCAGGCGGATGGTCTGCGGAGTGATGGCGCCCTGACACGTGCCTGCCAGAAGCTGCTTGCGCCAGCACCACAGCTCTGGCAGGATGCAGCATGCCTTTGATCCCGGTTGGAGCGCCTGAAGCAGAAGCAAGATGCCAGGTGTCCAGGGGCTTGATGGCGTGCAATCTCGGCAGTTGACAGAACTCACCCACCGACCAAGCGACACGAGCTTGCGGCGCTGGTTGCAGGCAGGATGCCCAGCCACTGCAGGCCTCAGAAGCTCGCCAACGACCACCTGCCAGCTTCCACGTCTGCGCTGTGAGGGCGCTGAGGCTGGTCCAGTGCTTGTGACGCGACGCCTTTGCAACGTCCACTCCCGCCTACCTCCCACATCGATTTGCCCTGCACGCCATGCTAGGTTGCCGCCAGCCTGGCGAGAGTAGTCTCTACGCTTCTCGCAAGAACTCGGCCACTTTGCACGCGGAAGCTCGGGTGCTTCTCACAGCACCTTTCTGGTGGCCAAAGGTTGGATTGCTCCACGTGGCAGACTTGCATGCCAGGCTTCCCAAACACATGATCTGTCGGGCGGCTACAGCCAAGGTCCGGCATTGCCAGAGGCCCGCAACGTCTGCGCTGCCTTCAGTTTCAATGCCCTTGCGAGCTGCACAGAATGACGGTATGGCCAGCTGGGTGTCGTTCGATGTCGGCTGCACCTGGCAACAGCTGGGCCCGCCCCTCACGGTTGACATCACTTGAGACAATGCCGCGGCCCGCCCGGGCGAGAGAGTGGATGGGCCGCTCAGCATCTAGAGCAAAGAGACGTCGCCACTGAAGCCTGCCGAACACTCACAAGAACGAAGCAGCTGCTTGAACACAGCCGCCGTGCACAATGTCGGGAACAAGGCGTCTGGTGGCAACAAGAATGCCCTCGCAACATATGATATTTGAAGCACCGCGACCTGCGATTATCGACATTGGCAGTACCTGCAATGGTGATCGGATGTCCTCGTTGTGTTCCTGCCTGCCTTCCGCTGTGCGCAATGCTACGTTGCCGCAGCCTTTAGTCCTCCAAAGACCTCGGCCACTTCGCAGACACAGGCTCAGAGAGAGTCTTGCAACATGCGTGATCCCACGCGCGTGATCTGTTGTGTAGGCTCCTGCATTCCGACAAACCAGCAACCGCTCTGCGTGCAAAATCAACACCTTGCGAGCTGCACAGACTGACTGCAAAGCCAGCTGGGTGTCGTTCGATATCGGGTGCACTTGCCCACGGCTGGGCGCGTCCCTCGTGTTGGGCGTCGCTTCACGCGATGCCGTGGGACATCCCGGCGGTGTTCTGACCATCATTCCAAAGACTGGGTGGCATGTGAAGCAAAGACCCTTCGACGTCGCAACAGAAGCCTGCCGAACACTCACAGGCACCAACCAGCTGCTTGAACAGAGCTGCCGTGCACAATGTCGGGAACAAGGCGTCTGGTGGCAACAAAAATGCCCTGGTAACATATGATATTTGAAGCACCACGACATGCGATCATCGACATTGGCAGTGCCTGCAATGCCTCCTGTGCGCATGTCGTGATCGGATGTCCTCTTTGTGTCCATGCAGAACTTGTTGCAAAAAGGCTTACGGCTTGGGGTCCTGGTTTGCGAAGTGCGGGGCCCGGGTTTTCAATACAGCTTGGGGAACTCTGCGTAGCGAAAAGGGCTGACGACTTAAGGTTTAGGCTGCAAGGCTGGGCTTTCCATGGTCCCTGTCATCAACAAGCCGAACGAGCGCACAGCTTCGGCATCACCACTTAAAGGAACTCTGCAGGTGCGCCCAGGCTCGTGGAAAAGGGCTTCTCAACACACGATCCTTCCAAGACAGCTGCTCTGGTCTGTCTAGTCTGTCTAATCTCGAGTCTTTTCTCAATCATCCCGGCAAGCTGCATGCTGCGAGAACAAGGCAGCAGACCACCTGCATGGCCTCCCAGCAGCAGAGGCAGCGGGCTCAGTGAAG